ACACCAGCATGAAGGGCCTGACTCTGCCTCCTCCATCACCTCCTTGCAGGCATTGGCCAATTGCTGGTGGGTGCCCAAATGCGTCCCCTCCCCAGGCTGAGCAAGCCCCCTCCCCTCAGTCTCTCCTCACCAGGGCTCCAGCCCCAGACCAACTTAACCACTGGTGTCTTTCCTGTATGGAGGGGCCCAAAACTGGATGTGGTATTCTCAACATGCTCTAAAAAAACAGTAAAGGTTTTACTAATATTTTAGTGACCAGAATGAGATGCATAGGCTCAGAAGAGGAACAGTTACCAGCTGAGGTGGATTTAAGGGCATAAGAAGAGAAAAGGTTCAAAGGTTCTCTTTTTGAGAGTAACAGAGTTCAGTCAGAACCAGAGAGCAGTATTTCCTGAGGAACATTTTGTAACTGGCTGCATGTAATGCTCTTACTATTTGTCTTGAAACTTCAGACCGCACATATCTCAGTGCAGTGCCTTTCTCTGATCATCACATTAATCCAAACACAATTCTCTCTCGTGGAAGTACACCAGGGACACATGGTTTGAGAGGATTAATCCCATTTCCTTGGTACATAGAACTCGTGAGTCATCACCACTACTTGTTTGAGCAGTATTAAATGTAAGCATCTTAGTTGTATCTGTACACCCACACTGAAGTTTTTATATAAGATTCAAATGTGCCTGATTAACATAAGAAAACCCAGTGCATATTTGTAGAGCAGGTGCAAGCTATGTCTCATCTCTTCCTGAACAAAAGGTTAATACCTTCCCACAAGTGACTTAATCCAACCTTATTGCTAAAATGATGTGATTGTAAATGGATATAAATTAAAGTTTAAAAGCTTCAAGTAATGCATTATAATAATTAGTTAATATTCAAAAAGGACAGGAAGTTTTTAAAAAAAAAGTTACACCACTAACTACCAACAAGAAATTTAAACACATGGCATTAAGACTTATGCTGTAAAATTTAAGCTTAAGTAAACACAGCATGTACAATATAAGAGTGTGATGTAACAAGAACTGCAGCTCGTGTTTTGACTTGTAGATCTAAAATCTAAGTGAATTGAAAGTAAATGTAAACCCAGAGGAGTTAAGTTTTATGATGCAGAACTCCCTTGAAAAGGGAAAATAGCACCTTAGGAGAATTCAAATTATCCTAGTAGTTTCAAATGAATTTTATTAATTTTATTGCCTCAGTTAAAATTTGTTCAGGTGCACATGTAATGAAGAGTAATTAATTATTCTATATAGAGAAAGAACAGGAATTATGTTACACATTTCCTGGTAACAGGTCACCATGAGGTGACAGGACGCGATTTGGGCCTGGGTGAGAAAATTCTGTGTGTATGCATAAGTGTGAGTGTGTGTGAGTGTAGCAGAGAGTAAAAATTGTTTTGGAAGTGTAATCCTATTGAAGAGTAAAATCTGCTGAGGATGTCTCCCATATAGAGATTTTCTAACCCTCAAGGAGAAAAAGGTTGCATGTAGAGCCTGATCAAATCAGCACCAGGTTCCTTCAATCCAGGAAGCACTATGGGATGGCATAAGGGGACAGCCATTACAATGACAAAAGGGAGCAAGGACAGGCCAGCACACCAGCCTCCTCTTCCAGCTGGTGGTGACCCCAGTGGTCATCTCACAAGAAGGGGCTGGACATTTGAATGGGTCTGCAAGGAAGCTACCAAGGACTGCCAATGATTAATGACCAGCTGCTCTTTTTAAAATGCTTATGCAGAGCGAGTAGATGCAGTGACAACTGTCAGTATTGCTGACCTGCTGGTATTGTGTATTTACTAAGAGGAGGCTTTTTTTTTCTGGTAACCTGGGGTTTTTAATCTTTGTTAAATCATAGAATCATTTTGGTTGGAAAAGACCTTTAACATCATCGAGTCCAACATGTTGGCTGAGCATTTATATGCTTTTGTATGTCTGCCTGGAAGACAGGAATTACATTTCCATTTTTCAATGGCCATTTTTTGTTCAACATAATTTTGTTGATTGAAAAAAAAAAAAATCCCTAGAAAAAAACCCTGCACATTTTTAAATTCTTTCCAAGAGAAATTTTTAGTTAGAAAGACCTGATTTCAGGAAATGTTGGATAAAGCTAGAAATTCTAACATGAGACAGTTCTCTTGAGGTTTCACTAGGTCTTCATTTTTGCTGCAATTGGTCCAAGACAATCTTGGGCATTGTGAATGTAGGAAAAATTTCTGTAGCACTGCAGGTAACATCTCAAGTGTGCAAACTGGTATGTTTTTTTCAGAAACAAATAAAAGCTATGAAAAAAAAAAAACTATGAAAAGGAAATCCAGCCAGGCTTTGAGACCAGATATAAAATCACACTGAAGCATACCTACTTCTCATACATAATGCAGTCTATGTATGTGCAGAAATATATAGAAATCTTCCTAAATTTAGAAGATTTAATTTAGCTGTGCTTTTATTCATGAAGATCTCTTAACATGACAGGAGCTGGTTATGCTGATTTATTTAGCCTTCAAACCATCTGGGCATTAACATCTAAGTATACTAACAGGCCACAAAAACTCTATTAGGCAAGAAAGTGGGTCAGTCTTACTTGATAGTTGAAGTGAAGCAGTGATTACAGGGCAAGAAGACCAAGTGAGAAAGACACTTGCTAAAGATTTTAAAACCTAAAGGAAAGACGTTAGCTCTGCATTGTAATTTATAAAGATGTACACAATGTTGGCTTATTTTGAATAACAGTGCAGAGAATATAAATTTTATTATCTCTCAAGGAACATAATTTTACAAATGTTGGATTGCATAGTAAAAAGTAAATTTAATTGCTTGTACTCTGTGAAAGTTGATTGATTGAATATTGGTAAAAAGATACTAAGTTACAGATAATTCAATAATTGAACTTCAAAGGTAACAAAAAGGAATACATTAATTATGTAGGTTACCACAGTATTCAATATATTTTTTATTAATTTCCAGCAAGGATAATTAACTGTTTGTAGTTTTTTTGTTTGTTTGTTTTACCATCTAAATGTAGGGCTTTATGAAGCTTCCTTGTTCTCAGCTGCCAGAGCAACCTGAGTATTTCCCACATATCAGAAATTTTCTTCTGCCATGTTTTCTTCTGAAGAAATAATGAAGGTATATTGCTAAAATCACCTTCCCAATGTTTTCTGTAGCAAGAAGTAACTTCCAATTAAGAAGCAATCCCTCAGCTTAAGAAACAAGCAAGCAAAAAGACCCCCACAAAACCTAAACAAAGAGCTTAATGCTTTTGCCTGCTCACACTAAGAGCTTAGCAACTCCCAGAACTGATTAAGTTGCCCGGGAAAAAATGTAAAATGTCTATTTTTCTAATTTTCAAAACTTAGCTGGACAAGGCTCTAATCAATCTCATATAATTTCTAAATTAGTGGTTCTTGGATCAGGAGGTTGAATTAAATTACACCCAGCCATCCCTTCAGCAAGAATCTCTCCATTAGAAGTTTAATTAGTCAAGTATGTATTTTTATTTAATTGTGGAAACAAGTAGCCATTCGAATGTACTTTAAAAGAGCTTGTTTTCTTAATCACAGACAACAACTCTTTGGAGGCTTTCCTTCAATATTTAAAAAGCAACCCGAAACATTCAGTTTTTCCAAGAGGAAACCTTGAAAAACACAGCAGCTCAGAGGGGTAATTGGGACCGGTGCCCTTCAGGGGCAGCGGAGCCATCAGTGTTAAGAACGAACTTCAGCGGGTGAATGCTGCCCCCTTCAGACCCTTCCCAGAAAAAGAATTACTGTTCAGTCAGAAATCAGTAACGCGTCACTCTTTTGCACTAGTTTTTGGGCAGGGAGAGGGGAAGAACCCGAAGTAGAAAGATTTAGTTAAGCAAATAGTTGGTGAACGTTTTTGTATAATAGCGAAGGATTATTTTTGTGTTAGAAATGCAGAGTCGTGCAGTTGTCTTAATGAATAAGACAAACGATACTGCAAGTTACATCTTTAGCTGTTGAGTTCAGTCATCACAAATGAGGAAAATAAGATCTTAGAGCAAAAGGTGCAAACTGGGCTGTGGAAAACCTCAAAATCAATTCAGGGCTCCAGAGTGCATTTATATAGTTTTGGTTAAGTTATTCCAACTCTATGATTCAGTTTTTCATATGCAAAAAAATTATGCCCTCTCCTTTAATCTTCCTTTTACTTTCGAAGCTTTTATAGCACCATCAAGGCCAGATTGGCAGAAGGTCTTCCTTACTTAATCCACAGATGGGGGATAATACAACTGTATGTATGTCTATGCAGTGCTCGGTGTACAGACATGTATATACGTATGTGTTCAACAGCTCCCTCATCTCAGCTGAAACTAAGTACTCCCTATAAAAAGAATAAACAGCTTGGTGAAAATGTAGACCCAGTAAGCTAACAGGGACACTTGTAGGTAGAAAATCCAATAATAAAATAAAGCTGATATTTTGTCTTTGGAATGTAATGTGGTTCGTTGTTTTAGCTTGCCTGAGAAGGTTTTTAAAATAGATTAAAAGGGAAGATTTAAAATAAGATTATTTTATGCATTGAGTGTTCTTCCTATCGGGAGAAAAACAATATATGTTCTGAAAAGTTACTTCGTATCCATCTCCCACTAACACAGCGGGCTGAGATAACAGAAAAGATAAATACCAAGCTTTCATATGGTGATACTGCTTTATTTCCTCACACACAATTTAAGCAAAAATGGCTAAAGCACAGCAATACAGATTTGATGGTCCACGTCATTTTGTACACCTCAGAACGTAAAGGTTCCCCAAAAAATAAAGCTTACATTTTTTTTCCCTGTTAAAATTTTCAAAACAGAAGTAGTTACTTTCTACTTTGAATCTGAATTGTCAAAGCTTCCAATGAAGCTCTCAGATACATACAGTGTATACTATTTGCTGTGCTGTCTGTACTCATTTTGTTGCTAATAGTAAAAAGAAAAAAATAATAATTTTCTATGTTTCACATTCTCAGCACACCAAGGAAAACCGCAGCATCACCCTTGAAGTTCAATCACTCAGATGTGAGAGAAGGCTCCTCCTGTTCACATGCGTTTTATACATCTGTTGAAATGTAGTGCAATACATCACTGAGGTATGTTGAGTTTTGCTTTTGTCAGCTTGCTGCTTGTTCTTTTGGGTTTTTTTAAACCCTATAAGTTTGGGTTTATCATCCCCATTCCTTGGCACTCAATGATGTAGGTATCTTTAGTGGGATCTTCCTCTTCCAATTTTGTCACCGTAAATTTGGCCTAAAACAGGATTAAAAATAGATCACTAAGCTACAGCATACGTAAGTTTAAATATTCCCTATCTAATGCCCAATAAACAAATTGCCATGCATTTATGTGTATTACAGCTTTGACTGATTTAATTAAAAACTATTTAAATAAAGGTGGTAAAAGTAACTAACCATTCCAAAGGCATTTAACTCTGAAGTACGTTCACTTTCTACAGGTAAATGCCTATATAAACATTGTAGCAATTATTTTATCAATGCTTGTCCTCCATAATCTAGTTTAGTTCACAATGCTTGCTAAACTGTACATTGCCTGGATGAAAACCAGTAGGTAAAACCTCCCAAACTTTTGGACTGACCTTTGTTAGCTGTTCTGCAAAGTGTATAGCTGTTTGAGTATGAAGTGTAATTGGTCCACTCTTCACTCTAGACACTCCCTTTGCAAGTGCCATGAAAATGATCAACTGAAAGGGAGGGAAAGGTAATTGTTAAGTAACTCTTCAAATCCTACGAATATTGATTAAGAAAAAAAAAGAAAAGAAAAACATCTGTAGATGTAAAAATGTTTCCATCCAGATGTAAAAATGTGCCAAGTTTCATAAAGGTTCATGCTGCTGAGTCTTATGCAGGATCCAAGGCTCAAGAAGCTTGGAAATTACTACTGTAAAGCCTATTACAGAAGGTCTGCTTCTTTTTCTCAGTGGAGTTTGCCACTGAATTCCTGTTACTACATTTAATTTTGCGCTTCTTCACCATCCTGCCCTGAAATTCCCCAAAGTCATGTCAGATTCCAGACTGGTAGATTACCTTTATGTTAATTCTAACACTTTCTAATCACATATTCACTAGACAGATATTAAAAATCTAATTTGATTTACAAATATCACCATGATGTGCAAGTACTCTGTGAGGCGTGACATAAATCCGAGCAGTTTCCATATACACTGCATCCAGCTGTGGCATGTTTCCACCAATTTTACTGTGCATGCTTTGGAAAAAGTAGAATGACTACAAGACCTAAATACTTCATATTATACTACATAATAGTAATGTGTGTCCAGGTGTTTACACCTAAGAGGTAATGTCATCCTATCTAGAACAGCCCAAGATTCTTATTAGGCTGCGTTACTGAAAATAAGATAGTGGAGGGGCTTTGTTCTCAAATGAAACTATGTAAGCAAGACAAACAGAAACACCTCCTAGATATTACGTTCTCTAATAGTTTCACTGAGTATAATTCTTAATATATAACCAGGGGCTATTTTTACTCTGCTACATGGAGTGCCAAACAGAAGAAAATTCCTACCTTTTTCTTCCATATCTACTAAGATTTACCAGAAGGGAAAATTTAAGTACAAAGACAGCTAGGACCATCTGTGGTTCCTACGAACTGCATGCAATTTGCTAATTCTAGTGAAGTTGTGACCATACCTGGAAACTTCCTAAGACTTCTAATTATCAAAAATTATGTAAAGCCATGCCTACCTATGGATATACCATGTAACTTTGAAATCTACATTCTTTTCATGCTCAGATTTATATTCTCCACAAGCAATACATTCATTCATGTTCTTGCCACTTTGACCTCATGTAAACACATACAAGAGCCTTACTTGGTCTTGCAGAGAATCATCAACAGTTCCACCATGTTTAAGGTTTCTGAGCAGCATCTCAGCTGCTTCAATGCCAACCTTGTCTGCATTCTTTCCTAACAGAGGAATCCAGGAGATTAGGATGCTACCAATTATTAAACATTTATAAATATAGAAGGAAAAAAAATCAAGACATTATCAACTTTTTAAACCTTATTTCCATGCTCTTCCCTCAAATGTCTGCTTTAAAAACCCCATATTATGATGCCAAATAGTTCATACTTCCTAAACAGTGAAAAGAAAGTAGCTCCACTTAAAGAAACATTTTATTCAAACCATTTAAAACCAAATAACTTCTATTGCTTTTATTCTAGATACACGTCTAGATTTACTGTTGAACAAAAACTTCATAGGTAAACCAGAGACTGTATGTTCTTAAACTGCAGAAGCATTTTCAACTCAGTGATCCTTAACAATCCATTCTGATAAAAAGTGAATTGAAAATTTTGTGCTTTTTCTCACTATGCAGAAGCAACCTAGTACAAAGTGTAAGATTCCATTTACTGCATTTAGAATCTGCTCATTTCCACTGTCCTTTGTAACTAAACAGCATCCATTTAAAAAATGCAACACTCGAAGCATCAGATCTTTGAACAGATGATACTTCAGCTTCCTGTTTGTTAATAGTTCATTAAGTTTATTCTGAAAGGGGTATACTTCATTAAACCCTTACCTCTCTTGCCAAGTGATGACCCAGCTAACAAACAACCTGTTGAAGTCTCTGCAACAACACTAAACAGAAAAAAATAGAACCAATATTAAGAACAAAATCACCCACATTATACTGTATTTATCAGATTGGTAACCAAGGTGTAACTAATCAACCAGCAATGTTACAAGTATCAATAGAAAGTATGGGCTCATCTTACATTATTCCACTTCCAGTCCCAAAGGCTTGATCATCAGGTTCTCGAACAGGCTGAATGTTGATGTAAAGATCTCTGATCTCCTTCCTGATGCATCTCACTGCTGCTGCTGACATTTCTTTTGCCAGCTAACAACACAAGGGATAAAAACATTGATTAAATTACATGACTAATTTTTTCCTCATGTCTAATTATTACAGTGAATGCCTGAATTACAGAGGGTACTTTATTAACTAGAAAAAAAAAGGATTATTATAATACCCCTACAAGCAAGCACTGAAGATCATCTCTTCTGAGATTTTTCCCACAAAATTAAGGTAACATTAAATGCTGAACAAATTATGTTTCTAGTGATGTATGTAAAAGCTTCAGTATTGATTGAAGTTCAAGAACTTTTCTCCATTCATAGTAAGAAAGATTTTATTTTAGCCTCTATTATCTCAAGACATTAGATAGTAAAAAAAACCACCTCACAATTAATATGTACAGGATAGATTAATATCCTATAAGATATATAAAATTACAATTTTAAATCACAGGCAGGTGGGGGCAAGATGAAGCTTATGCCATCTTTGTGACCCAGTCATTGCCAATATTCATAGGTTTGAAGATTTTGCGACCAAAACCAGCAGTCCACAGCTCTTCAAAAAGTAACTCAGTTTCTCCACTTCCTCACTCTACTAATTCCTAGCCTGTGTGTGAGAAGGAGCCATTCATATGAAGCATAGCAAGGACACCATTTTAATTTCCTGTTTTAGCTGCTATCATATTGCTGTGCAATCCATGCATTTTTGAAATGTCCAAAATTATATTTTACAGCCTGAATAATGGAAACCATTGAATAAGGCTAGTTAGTTTGTATGTGAAAGACTGTGGAATACAGGAAGAGCAGAGGTATGATAAGCAGATTACATGCAATTTTGTTTAGATACATGAAGTTGGGAACTACCAGGGCTATTATCAGCACTTACTTTTATAGGCAGTGCTCCAGCAACAAATGCTCTTCCATATATCTTTGTCACTGTGCCACGATCTGTTAAGTTTATTGGGCTCAGCTCTTTGACTGGTGACATCTGGACTACAACTTCACCACCTCCCTGAGGATAGTAGCCCCTATGTAGAAACAGTAATCAGATATAATTAAATGCAAAGATCACAGGGAAACCAAGAAATGTGCCTTCATATATTTCATTATACATATTTATGTTCTCTGTTACTTTACATATGAATTTTCTTGATGTGTGCCTTAGAAATCTTTACAATAGAATGAGGTTCTCTAAAAGTATTACCTCACAATACACATCTTATTAACTACCTAACAAGAACATAACTGGCACCTCAGAAAAACTGCCTGTTCAGCATGTGATTCCCCCCTCAGGGTTAAACCACAGGAAATATTTAACACCAGCTGAAGACTCAGCAATGAAAAAAGACAGGAAAGCACAATATCACATTAATCCTATGATGACAATAGACATGGGCAGCTAATGCAGCTTAGCTCAGTTCTTAGAAATTCATCCCTCAACTTAAGGGCATCTTGAGCCTCCGTGCTCAAACACTGGATCAGTAACGGCTGCCTCGGCCACGTCTCCGTAACTCACCTCTTTTTTATGTCACAATTAAATGTAAAATTGAACTTTTCAACTACTGGCTTGAAAACCTGCAAAAGAAGCATATATAAAAACACAGAGTGAATCTATTTCACATTTATAATTTCCTACTATTTTACACAGTCTTAAAAAAAAAAAAAAGTTAAATGCAAAAGGCCAGTTACATCATAAAACAAAGATAGCCAGTCTCATCCATACAGTGTGTACTTAACATTCTTCACACTTTCGTTCTGAATGACACTTGGGTAAAAGGATTTTCTTATGGAAAGAGGAAGAAAAATTCTTAACAATTCACAGCACTTCTAGAATAAATAATATATTTTAAGTGAAATTTTCTTTAGTGATTACAAACAGAGTAGTTGCTCTTTCAAGGAATTCCATGAAACACTGGTTGCCCCCTACACACAGTACACTAATAGTGTTACATTCCCATACCTAATTCCATAATTACAAACAAACTTGGAATAAGAGCAACAGAAGTACAGTAGTTACATTGCATGTAAATGCATGAAAGATGCACCAAGCCAAATAAATTTTTCCCTACCATGACTGTGTAGTCTATCTGAGGAGCCATCTCAGCATTAGTCCCACCTTTTAAATGAAGTTCTGATGGAGAAGCAGCAAACAGCACACAGGGCATTGCTACCTGCATCAGTAGACACACACTCCTAAAAGCAACGATAAGATACTAAAATGTTGTGCAGTTATAATCCATAGAATCACTACATACCAAAGGCAAATGACTTTTCAAAGCATGTAAGTATTTGAACATTATCTATAAAGAAAATGTCTTTTAAAAAATAATAATATAAAACTTCATGTCTTTAGCAAGCCTAAATGCAAAGGTTTTTGTTTCACAATAATTGCATCTTTAATATTCTTGTTTGAAGTAGTAATGTAGCTTACTTGTATAGTGATGGGACTGTGGAAACTGCAGGTTTAGCTACCAAATAAGAGCAGAAAAGGCTTAGGTAGCAATATTAACCTTTCAATGCTGTTGAGTAACAAAAAATATTTTAAAAAATACAAAAATTTCTTAGAAGCTGGTCAGCACACATAAACATGTGCCTGTTAGATACAAGATTCCTCTATCACTGAATCTCTCCATATTTCACAGTTAATGAAAAACTTCCAAATTAAATTTACCAAAGGTAAGTTTGATCAGCAAAACAAAAGTTATCTCACAGGGGTTTCAAACATAAATTTGAATTGTGAAAAGAGTAATAACCACTGCACTGAATAAAACGTGTTTGTTTTCTTAAATAACTTCCAAATGTTTCTGAACCATAAAGTTCCTTTTTTTTTTTTGGCTTGTGCTTAGTTACTAATTCTGCTGCACTATTGCTTACTCAAACTTTTTTTAGTTGAGTAAAAGGCACTATCTTGGTTGTTTATACTATTGCAGCTCTGAAGAATATTCCTCTTAACTTAAAGCAAACCTTATCTTGTGCCTAACCTGATTCGTGCTTCCAAACAACTGTTTACACCAGCCTTCCATTGCTAAACCCATTTACTTGCCTTTGCAACAGATTCCAAGAACAAAGGACACAACACAGAAGTATAGAAGGAACACAGGCTCAAAGAACCATGGATTGAATATGTTCCCAGTTCCAAAAGACTAGTGTCCCATATGCTACCATTACACCCGTAAGTAAAATCTTAAAATTTTCTGTATTACATGAGAAGGATTATTTCAAATCTCATGAATGTGAGATACTTATCTGATTTGATGCATTTGATCTCATATGTGGTATACTAATATAAGAAAATAATGTCTAAATTTTTAAACACATGGGCAGTTGTTTTTTGCTTAACATTAATTAAGTGTTCAACTTGCATATCAATTGTAATTTTGAAACTACTGAATTTGCATGTACTTATTCATACATTGCTGCCTACACTAACAGTTCTTTGGTCACAGGTACCTGTCTCAGGCAGCACATATTTTGGCTCATTACCCATGTTTTTGTGGGTTTTTTCTCTGCTTGTTTATGGTAATTTTGAAGTTACGAAAAGCATATAGAAGCAGCTACAGGTCAGTCATTTTCCACAAAGACATACCCTGCTGTTTTTGTATCTGCTATGTGGGTTCCACCTTTGATCTTCCCAGGCGTGAAGGTTATTTCTGTTGAGCCAATTTCTCCACCTTCCAGCTTCCCCTCACATAGACTTCGAACCATCTCCAATCCAGACAGATGTTGAGGCCTTGGAGTGACAATAGGAAGTTAAAGATATGTGCAAGTAGACTACATTCTCACGTTACATTAAAATAAAGCTGCTGAGGGACTTTTTAGGATGTTGGGAAGTGGTAGGACTAGGGAGAATGGATGAAAACTAGAAGTGGGTAGATTCAGATTAGGCATTAGGAAGAAGTTCTTCACCATGAGCGTGGTGAGACACTGGAACAGGTTGCCCAGAGAGGTGGTGGAAGCCACATCCCTGGAAGTTTGCAAGGCCAGGTTGGATGGGCCTCTGAGCAACCTGGTCTAGTGGGAGGTCTCCCTGGCCATGGCAGGGGAGTTGGAACTAGATGATTTTTAAGGTCCCTTCCAACCCTAACAATTCTATGATTCTATGAATACTAAACACCAGCAAATACCTATTACTATTGCAAATTTCAGATCAAACAAGGATCAGAGATTTTATCTAGTTCCTACAGTACTTCTCCTGAGTTCATATGAGCCAAAGGAATAGAAGTCAGGCCATTCTGGAATTTGCAGGATTCTGGTGTTTTCCATTAGAATAAGTCCAGACATTAGAGATGCAGGAGCAGCCGCTTGTCCTAACACGATAAATGCTTGAACAAAACAGTGGGAGAATGGTGGCAAGAGCAAACTGGAGCCAAGCCAATAACCAGCTGCCAGAGCCCCTAGAGAGCCAACAGTTTTGCTGTTTATCTGTCATGCTGTGCTTGCATTTGTTTGTTTGAGTAATTTAAACAGGAAAGACACGAACTACTCATAACACTTTACATTTGGTGAACCACGTTTTGCTGAGGCATTACATGACTTCAGCTGCGTTTCGTGTTTCACACCATGTAACCTCCTTAACGCCTCTGAAAGCATTTCTAGAGGGTCTGTAAGTCCGCGGGGCCCGGCAGGTGCGAGCGGGGCAGCCGGAGGGGCCGGGCCGGGGGGGGAGCTGCGCTGCGGGAGGGGCCCCGGGGCTGCGCCGCCTCCTCCGGAGGCCG